TGCTTATAGGTTGAAAGTAAGCCTGAAGAAAGCATCATGGCGTATGTGCCGATGGAGATGAGCAAGAGACACGGAGAGGGGTATCAGAGTAGTACCGCAATTTTGGAGCAGGGGTAGAGAGAGATTATCAGAGTGAAATCTCAATGATCAACTCGAATACTTGACAAAAGCGTGTAATCGATTAGTGGTGAGACAGACTGGATCTTCCAAAGTTTAGAGGCTCTGGACGGGCATTGAAGCTTTCACCACCTGCCAGCGAGAGAGTAGGGCCGGCTGAGGAGCAGTCACGTGGCCATGGCCAGTGGGTCGTTACAAAAGGTAGGTAATCCAGTATATCTAATATCCCTGATCCTGTCGGGTGTGGAGAGCATCACGAAGTCGAGGATGAACCGTAGGCAACATGTGCCGCACTATCGCTCAGTCAGAACATAATAAGGCAGGCAATAGATGGGCGTGCCTAACAGGTAGACACTTGGCCCCTGCACATTTCTCCCAGCACTATCGTCGCCGTCTCGGCGACTGGCGCAAGGACAGCCCTGCTGGTATACCACCGGCGCTTTGACACTGTCGTGGACGCTAAACAACGTGTGAGAAGTAGTTACTCCAGGCATTTGCTCAAGTATGTAATTACAGCAAGCGAACATGGTTGTCCGGGGCAACATAAGTATATTATAGTAGCATCTCCGCTACTTCAGAGACTTCCAGATATATTGCAAATCAAGCGAAAAGCATGGGGAAACGGCCAATCCTCACTGGTTGAGATACTGCTCAAACTTGCCGCCATAGCGCTGTCCCGCGATAGGCAAGCTCTCAATCAGCGCCCAAATCTCTTTCAAATCGTCGTCGCTCAGCTCCACGTCTACGCAGTTCTGCACCACTCGCTCCGCTTTTGTAGACCCGGGAATCGGGATGGCTCCCTGCCGCCGCACCCAAGTGATGGCCACCTGCGCGACCGTCGCACCCTTACGCTCGGCAATCTTCTCGACCGCCTCGACAAGTTTGAAGTTCTGGACGAAGGCGTCCGACTTGAAGCGCGGCAACATGCGGCGCATGTCGTTGGCGGGGAGATCTTCAGGCCTGCGGAACTCGCCAGTGAGGAGGCCGCGGCTAACGGGGCTGTAGGCGACGAGAGCGATGCCGACTATAGTATTGATTCGAGTTAGTCATTGCTATATTGTGAGAATGCGGCCCGGTATGGCTAGAGACTTACGCTCGTGGCATGCCTCGGCGACACCGTTGGTTACGGCATTGGGCGTGAAAATGCTTAGCTCGATCTCGACTGCCGCGATGGGGTGCACGGCGTGCGCGCGGCGTATGGTCTCGGCGCTGACCTCGCTAAGGCCGATGCCCCCGATCTTGCCTTCCTTAACGAGTTCTGCGAGAGCCTGGACGGAGGTTTCGATGGGGACATTGGGGTCGACTCGAGCGCACTCGAAGATGTCAATCTTTTTGCAGCCACCGAGGACTCGAACGGCCTCTTCGACGGAGGCCCGGATGCCCTCCGGACTGCAGTCCGGGATGTGGGTCTTTCCGTCGTAGGCGCCCTTGATGCTGAGGACGACCTTGTCCGCATCCTGCGGGTTTTGCTCGAAGTAGTGTTTGAGTAGGTGCAAGGAATTTCTGTCAGGAGTTCCGTAGTGGATTCCCTGCTTCTGTGTTAGTACATCACATATCAAAGATGGCTTTTGTTGATGGTACCCATACCCCGTTCCAAACGTTGGCACCCTGTTCGAGCGCAGTCTTCATCAGTTTGGTTGAAGCAGAGAACTCAATCTGATCCCAAGGACGGGTCAATCCTGTGAATCATTGTCAGCAAAAGAATACGGTCTTGTGATGCCTGTTTTTGAGTTTAACGAACTCACCCATCAGTCCGTAGCCGGTTGGCCCAATGGACTTTCCGACAATGGTCTTGGCGGCTGTAGTGGAGCTCATGTTGGCGATGATCAAGATTGAGGTACCAAGCTTCGACAGGGTATGGTGCTTAAGGTGTAGTGTACAAAGCAGGTATCTCGTAGAAAATGCTGGATTGATAATGTTCCAAGTTCAAAATCATTTGAAGGTATCTCAACTGCGTATATATACACTTCATTTCGATCCAAGCCGTCGCGGCCATCGCCAGTCATTGCAGGTATGCCTACACCATAGGCAGTGCTCAGGTAGTGTACAGTGTCCCCAAAAAATTAAATCCGGCTAATTATCTCCAGGCGCATGAGCCGGGGTCGGCCGCCGCCTCAGCCACATTTGTCGGTCTCTGGTGGTGGGCCTTGGCAGGGTTTACGGAGCTTATGATAAGATCCGGTCCGTCTTACTCACAGGCTGCTGCTGGCGGCGCAGGGAAACCTCGCCCCTTATTGGGCGGTTCTATCGGATTTAGCTCGACATGCCCTGACTGACGACGCAGCATTCCTAACCGTTTACCAAAGGTCCAATTCGGTGGGCGCGGTCTACCAAAGGCCCAAACGTGAGTGGATGCGTTTCCACTGTTAACTTGGCTGCCTGAAATAAGAAACATGTAGATCCTTTGGGTCTTGAGAAAGGAATAGGCAGACAGACTTTATCATACTTCATCGAGATAATCTCTGAGGTACTTGTTGAAAATAGTATCTGATGCTTAGATATCAGTATGCAGAACGACCTTCAAACCATGGCATGCTTTCGTACCCAGCCTTTGCTATCATCTCTCCAGTTTCCAGACTCGTCACGACGATATGGAATCACCTATCCTGCCGTAGCTGATATCATACTCTCGCTGCAAACAGAGCCCGGATGACTACTGGCTTTCAGACACCAGCGGCTGACCTTGCTATGTTACCCCATTCGTTCCATGTCGACCCTATTCTGATTCGAGTCATCTCACCAACAAAGTCGGCATTGGTCCTTACACGATGAATCAGTAGTTGGGCCGCAGCCGTAAAGATCTCGATCTTCTAGCTGGGTGCCGCGCAACTTATGTTTTTCAAGACAATGCCAGACTACTTAACAATGTCTAACCTCTCTTGGAGGTCCTATGCCCCGTCTAATCCGTTTGCCTTCATCAACGCACTCATAGTCTCTTCTTTCTCCCCGTTCAATATGGCGGCTGGAAAATTGATCGCCCGGTCATTATTAGCATACTGTGTGACGATTCCGCGTTCCAGCGTACAAGGAGGTGTAAACAAATCACCACTTCTAGGTGGACAGTTACTACATGTAAAGACTTAACCCCGTGCAGTTGTCAATAAAAAGCTAGAGCAGATGGAAAGAAAGATGTTGGGCTTTAGGCTGAGCTTATACGAATAAGCCATCAAAATAATTTAAGAGGAGAATTAAGTCACGACATATAGGTGTTGCGGCCTAGAGCAAACAATAGTTATCAAATGATAAAAGATTGAAAGTACGGTCAGCCACCTTAGCTTTCCGAATTTAGGCGGACCCAACCGCGATAATCGTCATGGTCTTCTTCTTATAGCTCGTCAAGATGAAATTGCTAGGAGTACAAGCTACAGCTCTGATCAATTGAGAAGTCTACAATGCTGTCCCAGTGACACCTAACGTTTTCAGCCGTGCCTTCAGATGTTTATGTCGATTGACTCTGGACTTGCTAGGTTTCTGCGTGACTGGTTCAAATCAGGCCAATTTTACGATCACAGTTTGATTAGTTCAGAAGGCCCTTTCCCTGGTATAACATTGCGCGCGATGAGCGGGTCTACGCCGCTCTTAGACTTACCATCGAGAGTAAGAGCGTACTTGAGCGGATTAGGGCAGGTGTTGCTACTGATTGAGTAGATATGGACGTAAGTCTCGGTCAAAATCACAAAGAGGATACCGGCAAGGAGAGACTTAGCATCTTTCATTCAGAAAGAAAGTCAATTCTAGCATCTAATCAGCTTGATAATCTACTGCGAGAGGCTAGACTCTACTTTAGAGGAATGCTATTTCCTGGTAGTGTAAACACCAACGTCCACCTGTGTCTCTGCACACTCTCTGCTTCTAACAAACTTGCTGGGCTCTCTAACTTAACGTCTAAACATGTAATTATAATGGCCTTTTGTTCTAATAGCTCCTCTCTGCACGAGCGGTCAGCTACATTGCTCGAACGTCCGCGCAACCAATGCCTTTGCGACCACGAAGAGACATCCTCGGAGACCACAAACGCTTGATACCTACTTAGCAATGAATCTCGAGTTTTCTTTTGAAGGAGGCTGATGTCGGAGAAAGTACCTTGATATATTTATAAGGCCGTAATTAAAATAGGCCGGAATGGAAATCATTGACAATAATGGCTTCGATTTTGTCACTACTCTGGGCCATTAATCCAGGAGCAACTGCTAGGATCCGCATGGCTTCCAGCAACCTCGACACATTCATAGTAGTCATTGCTCATTCAGGGCTCCGAAGATTTCTCCGCAGGAAGTGAACGATTATTGTTCACCCGGGAGTATTTACATTGCGAAAGTCAAACGCAAGGTCATTACTGGAGCGGCTCTGCCGGCTCCCACGGGACTAGGCCCCCAGCCAAGTCAGGAGACACGCGGGCCCAAGGAACAAGACGCGGAGAAATGAAGATCGTGAACAGTTCTACACTTCTAAGAAACCTAATTCTACACATGTGAGTATTAAAGTAAACTTTTGTTTTCGGTTGTGTTGTAACTTCTCTATATTTGCTGCCGAACACCCTGTATGCGTCCATCCAAAGTAAGGATATCTCCACATGCCACTTAAGGGATGCTCGTGATTACTCCACAATTTGCCGTTAAAGCTACCCGCAATCTTCAGAGAGGAGCGTATATCAGCGCTTGCGGCTAGAAGCGAGCACGACTTTCCCCTAACTTTACACGTCCTCACAATGTCTCCTTGGCATTATGGCTACCTGGGTAGTCGCTTGTCATATGCGGAATGAGCTCTTCGGTCTTGGCAATCCCACTAATTCGTCTTGCATCCAGACTTCCGCGACTTTTCTAGGAACATAGATTCATCTACGGAAAGATCTCGAGGCGAAGTATTCTATTTCGCCACCAATCATGATAGCGATGAGCAACAATGATGCCTCTCATTTCTCTTTCAACCCTGTTGCCTTCTTCTTCCTAGTAACCGGAACTCGTAAGTTGTCAGTTGCCAGATTATGTACCAGTCGACTAAGCGCCATTGGAGCGTATCCAATACATGTAAGTATTTCGAGTCATGGTTGGCAATATTGATCGGTGATATATAGTGAGAATGCTAGCTGCTTTATGATTGAGTTGAGCCCGGTAACAACCTTCATCTCTCAAGTTTTTGACTTCAAGCAAAGCCATGCACTGTTCTCAATTCTTTAGCCTCGTAGCTACAGCTACTGTGGCAGGGGCACTCCTGCTTCAGGTTGATACCGGAAGTCCTGGCCATGAGTTAAGCCCTTTGCTCCACGGTCTTATGTTTGAGGACATCAGCAACAGCGGCGACGGAGGTACAGTTAAACCCTGGCCCATCAAAGATAACAATTGGCTGAAACATGAAACACGGTGATAGGCCTCTATTCACAGCAACTAAGAAATAACGCATTTCAAGGCGGTGTGACTACCGTCGACCCCTGGACAGTTCATTATGGCGCGGCGGAAATTTCCCATGATACCCACACACCACTGACCGACGCCATCACTTCATCCCTCAAAATTACAATCCCCACCGGCGCTGATGGATTTACTGGCGTTGCGAACCCTGGCTACAGAGGCATCATCGTGAACGGCGGGTACTACAATACCACTTTCTGGCTTCGTGGTGATTTTCAGGGCGATGTCAAGATCCGCCTTCTAAGCAATGAGACTGATGTCGAACATGGCTGGGCTATCATTCCCGTCGACTCCAAGGCCGATTCATGGACGCGATATGAAGCCGGATTCTGGACGACAGCCGCCGCCGATGGGAACAATCTCTGGGTTTTCGAGATCTTGGCGGAGACTCTGACTAGCGGAAGTATCAATCTTGGTTACCCGACCTTGTTTCCTCCTACTTTCAAAGGTAGAGAAAACGGCTTGACAATCGATCTGTCCGAAGCCATCGTAAATCTCAAACCCCAGTTTCTGAGATTTCCTGGGGGTAATAACCTGTGAGTTGCCTTGGTATCCTTATCAACTGCAAGTCCAAAATCTAATCACTGACTACTCATTATGCAGTGAGGGAGGCGGCCCGCATGACCGCTGGAAATGGAATGAAACAATAGGTTCTCTTGAATCTCGACCAGGACGCTGGGGTAGGGCCTCGTTGCACCTTGATGTTACTGCGATGTGAGGCAATCGACTGATGTTTTTGACACTTATATAGGGACTTGGGGATATGTCAACACTGACGGCCTTGGCCTCATGGAATACTTCCAGTGGTGTGAGGATATGTTCTTGGAGCCTATCCTGGACGTATGGGCTGGTCTCGGACTTGCGGGACTCCCACCATTAGTAGGAGATGAGCTTGAGCCGTATGTTGAGGACGCAATCCGTGAGATTGAGGTATGTTGTCTACCTACGTTACTACGCATCAGGTAGTCGTGCTGAACAACGTCTTAGTTCGTCATTGGTGACATCGACACGTCTGGCGGGGCACTTCGCGCGTCTCTCGGACACCCAGAGCCGTACCAGCTCAGCTTCGTCGAGGTTGGGAACGAAGATAACCTCGCCGGCGGCTGTGAGTCTTACAAGCAGCGCTTTGTGCAATTTTTCGATGCCATCAAAGAAGCATATCCGCAGATAACTGTCCTTACCTCCACGTCTGACCGAGCCTGTCTGCCGGACCCAATTCCCGAAGGCGCATGGCTTGACTTCCACGACTACAATGTGCCGGAGAATTACATCAACGCATATGACTTTTATGACGACTGGGATCGCGCTCATCCTGTGTTTATCGGTGAATATGCCAGGTGGGGCGTCAAATGGTCCGATATGCGAGGTGCCTGCTCCGAAGCAGTCTATATGATGGGTTGGGAGCGTAACGCAGATGTGATCAAACTAGCTGCCTACGCACCTACACTACAGAATTACGACCCTGTCAACGGCCAATGGACGGTAAGATACCGATTCTCTCACAGTATACACATGTTATGCTGACTTGTCTTGGGTTAGCCCAACCTAATTCCCTTTACTAACAAACCCGATGGCATCGTTTATACTCCATCTTATCACGTCAAAAGGATGTTCGCTAATAATCATGGCGATGTTGTTGTCCCCGTTACAGCTGATGCAGAGCTCAACCCTGGTGAGTTCAGTTCGCTCACTACTCTCAAGCCTTTGATAGGAACTGACCGCGAAATTCTTGTTTCACTAGTCTGGTGGGCAGCAAGCATGAAAGGAGAGGGCCAAGTAATCGTAAAACTCGCCAACTATGCTTCCAACTCGACCGAGATTCGCATACAAATCCCTGGAAAGGCAGACGTTCAAGGATCATTTACCTCAATCACTGCCAGCCCTGATAATGCTAACTCAGTCGAAAACCCCACGCTCGTTTCCGCGCCCGCTGTGCTGGAAGTTTCTGCAGACCCTCACGGTGTTTTTACCATTGAACTAGGGCAGTTTGGCGTTGGTGTACTCGCAGCCTGAGGTAGATTTACGTCAACGTAAACCACTTAAGAAGGATCATTGCGGTGATCTTGATGCAACAAGCGCGACCGTTGGTGATTAAGCTCATAGCGTCGATTGAGCCACCATACGACGGTCTGAACTTCGATTCATTCTAAGATAGTTACGGATATGGTTAGATATTGTCCATAGACTGTCTTGGCCTATTATTTCATACAACAGCCCTTGCAAAGATTTTCCCAGGAGGTGTTGCGTCGTGAAAGTGGCCAGTCAGTTAGAACGATTACATGGGTAGCTGATTTCAATCTTACCGACGGTCTAATTATCAATCCGTCCTGCAACGCCCAGTTCTGCCACCTGCTTTGTTAATCGTCATGCGGCTGAGGTGTGCGGGCGGGGGATGTCGAGGTTCAGCTCCATCTACACTCTTGTGGGGGAATCATACGGACGAAGTTCGACCGAAGACTACACCTATTAAATTGAATTTTAAGCGTCCTAAAAATACTGGGTCAGAAGTCCAGCCCGACGGCAAACCAACCCGCCAAATTCAAGTTTTCTTTTGGGCTTTCACGACTGGAATTTCATTCTTTCTCTACATCACGTGTCATCTGACACGACGAATCTCAGATGGTGAACCTCGCCATTGCCGGAGGAACTGGCGGCGTTGGGCGTAGCATTGTGGATGCACTCAAAAATGACCCGAGACACTCCACCATCATCCTCTCTCGTACGGTACGCCATGATCGTGCTTCCAAGAAGGCTTTTCCCTTTCATAAATTCGTTTGTGCTTACAATAGTCAATCGTAAACAGGAAGCGCCAGATGATAAAGCTGGAGTCTCTGTTGTGGCAGTTGATTACGACGACAGAACGTCCCTGCAGACGACCTTGGAAACCCACGAGATCCACACCGTGATATCAGCTCTAGCCCTCCACATCATTGGGGTTGGCCAGGCTCAAATCAACCTCATTCAAGCAGCCGACAAGAGCAATTGTACGCAGCGTTTCATTAGTAGTAGCTGGGCAGTTAGACCGTCGAGTCAGTGAGTTAATTTCTAGTCGCTGCGTGCTTGTTTGAAAAGTATGAACCTACTGAACCAGAGTCTTTGTAGGTATTTGAGTCTTTTGCCACACGGGTTCCAGCACATTGCTTCTTACAGCGAGCTGGAAAACTCACGACTTGAATGGACAGCATTCAATTGCGGGTGGTTCCTCGACTATTACGCAATGCCCCATGTCGAGACATACATTCCGCAAACAACCTTTGTTGTTGACATGGCCAACAGGCAAGCATCCATACCTGGAGATGGAAAACAAAAAATGACATTCACCTATACCAAAGACGTCGCCAAATTCGTCGTGGAAGCTCTCGACCTAGCCACATGGGAGCACGACACATATCTCATTGGCGACGAAATGACCTGGGAAGAATTCATTCCAATTGCCGAAGAGGCTCGTGGAGGTAAAATCTAGTTCCCTAAAGTACATGCTGATCGACTTACTAAGACTTTTATTGTTGATAGGGAAGAAGTTCCATGTCACATACGATAGCGTTCAGAAGCTCCAATCTGGCGAGATCACGGAGCTGCCAGGCCAGGTTGCTGCATACTCGTACTTCCCGAAACAGTGGGCTCAACAGCTATTCTCCACCTTTGGTTTCTGGGTCACTGAAGGTCTCTTCGATTTCCCAAAGGATAGGGCCCTGAATCATGTATTCCCACACCTAAAGGTTACTGAAGTGAAGGAAATGCTTCAGAACTCATGGGAAGGTCGGTAGTGTCTCGGAAATGGCGTCGCAATGTTATCAAAGCCGCATCTCCAACTGTCTTTTCCCTCAACGTAGCTCAAAATTTTATCAGTGCTTCACACTCATCACTGAGAATGGCCCAATGTCAAATGGAGTTCCAAGGATCGACGCACGCACCTCCCTGAATGAAGTGAACGTTTCATCGAGATACAGTAGATACCTGAATCGAGTATGAGCTGTTGGTTCATTGGAACCGTGTGACCAGGTAAAAGGCTCGTCTACTTGATCAATTCATCTCAAGTACATGTAATTATGAAGGTAGCAAGGTAGGGTGCCGGAGACATTGTCCCAAGTCGCCATCGCAGAACCCATATTTTCAGACAAGGACATGTTGCTCATGTGTGGTTCTTCATCTTTGTTTGCTCTCGTATCGCGAGGGGGCTGGAACCATTTGCATTACCGTAGTAATCAGGGACCTAACAAGTCCGGGACTAAATCTGGTCAGGTTGATATTGTATGGCTGATGTAATGGGAATCTGGTATCCTAGGAAACGCCATTGACAATGGGGAGCATAGGCAAATCGTTTTAGTTGGCACAATCCCATAGGTCGCATCATAGCTTCCTAATTTGAATTTCATTTGCGGGAGCGTAAAGTCAGAGCTGAATGGCTTGAGTTTCCCTCTGGATAAGATATGCACACGACTAACATATTTCTTTCATCTTAACAGTCCTCCGCCTCGGGCCCCGTGTCCAACGGTCGAATGTAACCAGGCGTGATTAATGATCATACCCACGCTCGCCTTCGCCAAAGTCTTCCAGTACAAGGATTCTTTTTCCCATACCATAGCGCCTGAGTCGAACACGGCATTAAAATTGCTCCGAGCCTAATTGCTATGGGCCTGAGTGGGGGTTCTTAGTATCAAGGTCGTCTTTCCTCGGTGGCCAAGTTGTTGTTGTTCGCCATTCGGTAATAGTTTTCGAAAGATCAGCATGGATTGTGATTAGTTCCGACTGTATGATTTTACTACCGATATAAGGTTGTGCGTTAAACGGATGAATGAATTTTGATTTTCTTTCCCTGCACTCGCAGTCTTTCTGTCAACTTAATATCAAATACAACCGCAGAACATGTGGCCACTACTGCCCACCTTCTTGACTTTCCTTCAGTATACCGTGGCCCTCGAGACGACACCGAGAGTCACAATGGCTCCCTCAGAGGAGTTCAATCTTCACATTCCTGACTCCAGGATCGAAGATTTCGCATCGCTCCTCTCTGCTTCAAAAATCGGTTCCGAAACCTGGTACAACAAACACAACAATAAGGACTTTGGCACTACCAGGAACTGGCTCGCTGAAGCAAAAGACGCGTGGCTTGAGCTTGACTGGCGAAAGCAAGAAGACCGCATTAACAGCTTCCCCAACTTCAACGTCACCATTAATGACGTCGATGCTGGACCGACAAACATCCATTTCGTTGGCCTCTACTCCAAGAGAAGCGATGCCTTACCGCTACTCTTTCTGCACGGGTGGCCCGGATCTTTTCTCGAGTTTCTTCCGTTGCTCGACATTTTGAAAAGCAAATATACTCCAGAAACTCTTCCTTACCATGTTATTGTTCCCTCTCTGCCTAACTATGGACTTTCCGGTGGGCCAATCGATATTGAACTCACGCTTGAAACAGCGGCGAGGCTGATGAATGAGCTTATGATCACTCTTGGCTTTGACTCAGGCTATGTTGCCCAGGGCGGCGACATCGGCAGCTTCCTCGCTAGAATTCTGTCAGCGAATCACCCACAGTGCAAAGCCTTTCACGGTAAGCAATATTGGCTCAATACGTTCAGTGGGTGTTCAGATTTGTACTAATACTGAGGCAGTCAATATGCTTGCTCCATCATCCCAAGACGAGCTTCTTACGACGGTCAACATCACCGAAGATGAGGCACAGCACGTACAGCGAATGCTGAACTTCAGCGCTACCGGGTCGTCGTATCTTCTGGAACATGGTCTAAGACCCTCGACGATCGGCCTCGTCCTATCATCAAGCCCACTTGCCATGTTAGCCTGGTAAGCTCCATATCACGGCTTGACTTGCAAGATACTGTCGTTGCCTAACATTATCTAGGATTGGCGAGAAGTTCCTCGAGTGGCCTGATTCCCGTTATCCACTTTCTGTTGACACAATTCTCACTATGGTAAGCTTTTACTGGTACACAGACACTTTCCCAAGAAGCATGTATCCCTATCGTGCTCTCGCGAGCGCAGCAACAGCAAATGTCCTCTTTTCGGTTGCAACGTCTAAAGAAAAGCCATTTGGCTATTCGGCTTTTCCAGCAGAGAACATTCTCTTGCCGAAAGCGTGGGCTGAGAAGGCCTATCCAAATCTTGTGTTTTACAAGCGCAATGACAAGGTATGCCCGATTCCATCAATAACTTTTGTGTTCATGTTGTACATCTAACGTTTGAACTTACACAGGGGGGACATTTTGCGGCATTAGAGCAGCCCAGAATCTTCCTGCAGAATATTGAAGAGTTTCTAGCGGTTGCTCGACCACTGATTGGGCTTTGATGGTTTGGCATCCAGGCGTGTGAGGTCGTCCACTTCTGGTCGTCCTTGAAGGATTGAACTACGAATTATCGCGTGTTAGTCATACTCTTCATCACAGTGGCACAGATAATTCTGGGTCACCAGTGCCTTCCGAAAGTCGTAATATTGATGGAATTTGAACCTATGCTAGATTATCTGTCCTTGTTGTTCCAGTTTGCTTTCTTCAAATTCGCTATCCTGGCGGGACTATACAACTGCGATCCCCGTAATGTCACCCAACTCGGAAAATAATACAGTCTTCTTGTACGTTTTCGTATCAACAGAGTAGACGCCGCCGGCAAGGTCTGTCACGTAGGCTAGCCCCTCCCGCTGGTCCAACGATAGACCAATGGTTTCGTGTAATCGTATTGCCAGAGTTTCCTGTTTCTCGCCATCAGGCATCATGGCTCGGTTAAGTGAATTTCCAGCAGGAGGATCTCCTCGATCTGTCCAATATAGCGTGCCACTTTCCTCGTCGATGTCGAGATCAATTGGCTCGGGAAGCTCGCCGATCACCATCTCGATCTGATGGAGTCGGTCTTCGAAAGAGGCATGTATAGGTGCGCGGAAAATCCGCCCTTGGTTGCCCTTGGATGGTCCTTTCTGTGTCCAATAGAAGACGTTTTGCTGTTCATCTACAGCAATGCCAACGCACCACCTTCTTTGATCCACCCTCTCTTCATCGGTGTTGCCGGTTGAGACGAGGACCTCGACATCAGACCCATCGAAATTGGACCGCATGACCTTCATACCCTCCCGGTCGCACCAGTACAGCTTCATACTCTGCTTGGCGATAGTGATTTGCTTCGGCGTGAAGACGCCAACGGTACCTGCTGACACAATGATTTGTTGGTTTGAACCATCCAAGTTGGCGCGCTGTATTGAGCCGTCGTTGGACTTCAAGCTAGATCCCATGTTGGTCCAGTACATATGACCTTTGGCATGATCAATCACAATACCGTCGGGTAGAGTTGCCATGTTGTCGACTACTGTTTGAAGGTCGCTTCCGTCTGTTAGACATGATAAGATGCGCCCACGGCGACTTTGGGGAGGGTGAGATAGGTCGGTGTCGAGGATGTACAGGCGTTGTTGGATTTGAGAGCCCATGTCGCCTGCCCAACGAGGGTTACAATTAAGGTGTGGGATGGCAATGCACCAAATTAAGATAGTCAGTTGATCGAGAAACTTGGGTCGATCGTCTTTTCAGAATCAGATATATGACCAAGAACGTGTTTTATAACTTGGCACTTCCTGAGTGGGGGCGTATTTGTTTGCATGAAAGCCTTCGAATTATTAGAGGAAGTGGAAAAGTTTGCGTTTTCGTTGTATCGTCATTGCCCTGTTTTGCGCGTCGATTCGCTCCCGGCCACTCCTGGATTCCCGATAAAGTCGGTATTCGCACTTCGGTCTTCGTGACACGCGCACAGCGTTATTGTGTCCACACTGTTGTCATGCAACACGGACCCGACCTCTTCTGAACGGGATTGATTCCGCACTGATCAGGGAGCCACCCCTTCCGCTAATCTAGTACCCACCCCCTGTTCCGCGCACATGGCACCCCGGTAGAGAGGCCATTTACGTTTGGTAGAATCAGCAGATCACTGCTACTAACGAAGAATAGATCGTCGAGCAGAGAACGTGGCATACCAAATACTCGGGTTCCATTGCGGCTGGAAAATTGCGCAAGTAGCCTGGGCTTTTGGCACTCGGCAACTGTACTATTGTTCATTCACCCATTTAGGCATTTAATACTCAAGCTGCATGCTCTGGCTCAGTAGAGCCGAGATGACGGATCATTTGTACTATCAAGTCTATGCTGAGGATATCTAAGGACAAGGTTTGGATACAAAGTTACGAAAAGCTCGCATGCAGTGATTCAACCCTCCATACTACTCTGAGACCGGGTTCTTGCTTGTTTCTGCATAGCTATCCCACTCTTTCCTTACGTTCAGAAGTCGTACTAACTCCTCATCTCGCTGCTTCGCGAGCTGTCTGTAAGCCCTGTCATCCACGGCCTGCCTCGTTCCTGAGACCCATTTCTGCCTCAATTCTTCCGTGACTTGAGGATCTTCAGGTGCGTACCAGGACATCAGGGGACCCAGCAAATGATCCGCCATGTACTCGATTCCACCTTCACCGCCTCCCAAGTGCATTAACATGTTCGGACCCATGACGCCCCATCGAAGACCGGGGCCATAACTCATTGCTTTGTCAATGGCCTCGACCCCAGCAACGTCCTCCTGCAGTAGGTACATGACCTCTCTCATCAAGGCTGCCTGGAGACGGTTGGCGACATGACCGACAACTTCCTTTTTAACGTGCACTGCCCTTTTCCCCATCTTTTCGTAAAACTCCATGGTGGTGCTGATAGTTTCAGATGATGTCTGCCCACCGGCGACTACCTCCACAAGGGGGATGAGGTGCGGAGGGTTGAAAGGATGACCAACGACGCATCGTTCAGGCCGGCTTGGTTTATCCATTCCAAGCTGTATACTTGAACAAGTCAGGCCACTGCTGCTTGTAGCAATGATTGTGGTTGGCCGAACAATGTTCGCCATGTCGTTGAACAATGTCCGCTTGAAATCCAGTTTCTCCGGTCCGTTTTCTTGCACAAAATCGGCGTCCACGAGAGCCTCAGTCATGTTCGTCGTGAAGAAAATGTCTTCCACTTTCGCTGTGGCATTCTTGACGAGGCCCAGCGTCGAAAGAATAGGCAGGGCGTCAGTGACAAGGGATCGAAGGAACGTTTCTGCAGCAGGGTTGACATCGAAAGCCGATACTTGGAGGCCCTGTGCTAGAAAAAGAGCAGCCCAAGAGGCTCCAATAGAGCCACAACCAACAATGGCGACCTTTTGAATATGTGACATGTTCAAAAATAAGATGAAAATGCGGACAGGGGAGTTCTTTCGTAAAATTTAGAACGGCGTGGGTTTTGAAGAGGCTGCTATGTTGCAGTATCTTGGTTCAATGACGGTTGGGAGTTACAGTTGATTAAGATTGCCAGATTGAGAGAAGCAGGATGGAGCAACGTAGTCGCCGGGGGGAAAGGTGAAGTCTCACATTTATGGTAACAGACAGCATAGCAAGCATCTATAGATTACCTGCAGTGGCTGATCTTGGAAACGAAGCCAGCATCATGAAATGTAGAGATCGGGTCATCGTGGGTACATGCAACAAAGACCTGCTTGCCGGCGCCTCCGAGAGGGAGAAGAAGATTACCGGGCCGATGTTGGGGCTCAAAGTCTCGAACTCCGAAGAATTGAAATATGGAGAGCCCACAATGCCGACGAGTGGACACCGATGAAGATACCGTTTCACGGGGGAACGGGCATAATTCCGCGCGCGGAATCAGAGTGGCGGGTCCTCGACTCACGCGACAGCTCCGGATCGCCAGAGCTTGGCTCTCCCGGCCCCCACGTTACTGCCGCTAAATATTCCAGAAAACTTCTACTCTGTTGAAATGGATTCCCACGAGTTGGACCATGACTCTGTTCCAAGAGAAACCAGGTGAACATCACACCGACACGGAATACGGAGTGGCCAATGCTGATCTCTTCGCAGACTTAACGTCATTTTCGCTACGTAAGCAAGTGCCAGCCATTCTAATAATCCTGGCTTTTGCTCGAGACCTCGGCCTCGAACTCCGGCTTTCGCGTTGATATCGCACCCGGTATGTGGACCCCATTCCCGCAGCATTCGGCTCACACTGGGCATCGATATGAGTCCGAGCAACGTCATGTTTCTCCGTCCTCTTCCCCACAACCTCGGCCTCGTGCTGCATATTCCCGCAATGCTCTACGGGACCAAATTTTCGACAGCGGTCACACCGCGTCACTTTGCGGTCCTTCCGAAACCCCTGGTGTCACCTTCCGCTCTACATCCGCGAGGTTCGTCCTTGGCAACCGCATATCCCTTGAGGCGAAGGCTGTTGAAGAACACCATATTTATATCTATCACCCTCTTAGCCAACCGACCTTTTCTCTTCATCAGCCCATTTACATACCACACTCGAAAGGCTCCATCCCGAACCAACACAACTCCATACACCCTGTTCAGATTCATACACTCCATAATTATCAAATTTGCCCGTCACTATGGCATCAGAAAGGATTCCCGATGTTTACGGTCCGGGCACCTTCACAGACAAGACCTTCACCCCCGTACCCGAAGACACCGAGCGGATCTTTCGTCTCATAGCAAGCCAAACTCCGGGCTTCACTCAAGATGAGCGTCTACTTTCCAGAGTCACGTTTACCGGAGAGGCGTATCCCGTTATCCCCGGCCCCATCAAGGCGGTTTCTGTCGCTGCCGCCCTTCACGCCATGACCGGCGTGCTTGCAGATGAAATTCTAGCCATCCGCGGCGTCAACAAGGAGGACAGACAAATATCTGTCAACACCACACATGCAGCTGTCTGGTTTGGCTGTATAGCCACTGCATTCCTCGATGGTGTCGATGTTGTCAGCATGGTCAAGCAGGGCCAGCTCAAGAGCCTTCTGCCTGATTGGGAGCGGGGTTGGACCGACACTCCCCTCAAATACCGTGCGACTGGCCTCTACCCAACCAGCGATCCTGAAGTATGGTATTCTCTTCATGGCAGCATGAACGCTGATCCAGTCCTGCGATCTATCGGCGTCGACCCATCAGCACCAATCAGTTCCAACGACGAGGCAGCCGTGCACATTGCTGAGAGCACCTCAAAGCTTAGCCCAGAGAAAATGGAGGTCACAAATCTGTTAAATGGATTTTGCGGCAGTATCTGCTTCACTCCCAAGCAGTGGCGCGAGTCTGAGATGGGACGGTCCCTTTCTAGGCACCCTCTAGTCAATGTAAAGAAGCAGGAGCAGACGATGCCTACACCGCCGATCGCGTTTCCGCCTCTCAGCTCCAACGACAAACGACCCTTGGCAGGGGTTAAAGTTGTGGAAATGACCCGGGTTATCGCTGGACCAGAGATAGGGACCATTCTTGCTTCATACGGCGCAGATGTAATTCGCGTCAACCCTCCCCACCTTCCGGACATCAACATCATGCAGCTATCATTGAACGCTGGTAAGCGCACGATCGCCATCGATCTGCGAAAAGAAGAGGATGCTTCAATTCTCAAATCGCTCGTTTCCGACTGCGATGTGTTCATCCAGGGGTTCCGCATCAACAAGATGCCCAAGTTTGGCCTTGGGCTGAACGATCTCTTGAAAATGGCTGGTGATCGTGGCCGAGGAATCGTGTATGTCACCGAAAACTGCTATGGACCGGACGGATATTATGCCGAGCGACCCGGCTGGCAACAAATCGCCGATGCTGCGGCTGGCTCTGCCTATGTTACAGGAAGATCTTTGGGACTTCCGAATAACGAGGCCGTTCTTCCTAGCTTGCCCATTTCCGACATGTCCACCGGTGTCTCGGGCGCGGTTGGCGCAATGCTAGGACTGAAGCGGCGCGCGACTGAGGGGGGAAGCTACTACTCACACGCCAGTCTCGTGGGCGTTAATGCCTATGCCCTCACCGAAGAGGTCGGTCTCTACCCTGAAAGCACTGTGGCAGAATGCAAGCAGCGCTTCCAATGGGGTGAAATGAGAGGTGCTCATCATGTTCTGGATCTTCTAGTGACTGTCTGGAATGGATGGACAAAAGTTCTTGGTGACTTCTTCAACCCTGAAGGCGAATGGTTCCAAAGCTTTGATTCAAGTGCCTTCGACAGGAAGCGCTTGAGTATTTTGAAACCGGTGGTCAAGTTTGAGGGGGAAAAGGAAATATCCCCCGAATGGAAAACTCCAAGCGTTCCGTACGCCTTCGAGAAGGCCGAATACGTCAGGTTCCGTTGAACAAATGTTTGTAACAATCGCATCTCAAAATACTAGTAGATCCATACCGCATATACGCAAGGTCCTTGACAAAGCAACGTGACACAGCTGATATAGCTGCTGTCTGAATGTCTTCGTACAGGTAGCGTAAGACTCTTCGAGAATTAAGAAGATATCGTCACATCCAAAGTTTCGAAAGTAAGGTTCTTAATGGGCCAGCTTATAGTTCACTTTCTCCCAAACGAAGAAGATCGTGATTTTCAAGTGTGTCCTTCTCAAAGCCAGATAAGGACTGCTTCAGCATGGCAGCCGAGATTTCGCTAACCCCAATACTTGGTAGTGACACAGTCCACCACAATGCACACGCAACAGCCATTTTCAAGAAGTCGTTAGGTGCTGTTATCAGTCCAGGCTCAACAATACAGGCATCGAGTTGTGATTCATGCTCTTTAGCGAGAGCCAGGACCGCAGTTTCAGTTCTTCCCTGTCATACAAAGGCGTCAGAGATGAAGCAGAATGAACAAAGTGGTACATGTGTCTGAATGTTACAAGTCGAAGCCAGTGTTGGAGTCTCACTGAAAATGGGGAGGACGGGAATAGTTGACGGACCCGCAAAAGTGAGTACTCAGGCTTGAAGCTCGGAGTTTTGGACTGGTCTCTCTCTGTTTTGGCACCACTCATGTATATGAAACGGAACGGTGTAAGGTTTTCAGTATTAGCCGTCAAAGAGCCACGGGCTTCCAGCATTGCTCGCAACCCGGCGAGAGGTGATTCGTAGCAAACTCGACAAATCTCATTCCAGTCATATAATGTCGATTTTGAGGGTGTGATAGCCACAGTCCTATTGCCCCACGGATGATCACTTTTAGCACAAACTCCAATTTCAAGTTTAGAGCATATAGAACAAGCGTACCAGATACATGCATCAGCAGTGGCGAACTCTGCTTTAGTTTCGACAGAGTACTGGTCGTAACCTTCAACAACGATATTTCTCAGCTTTGAGTGATCGGCATCGGAACGAGATTCTGCTTGTATGACCAGCGGTTTTCGAGTAAGAGCAATGACTGTCTTTATTGCAGGGATACGAAGACTCTGTTTAAGCAACTCCGTTCCTACGAAGCCGCTTGCACCAGTTATGATGAGCTTCATATCGATCCAAGTGCTGGAGTATGAAGCCAAAGCCGGTCCGTAAAGACGAATCGGCCCAAGGGGAGCTATCGGTGGCTTGTGACGGCTACAAGTTGTCATTCAAAAAAGACCATTATCAAGACTTAGGACCCGACACAGAGGCGCAAGTTTACTTATATACTCGATGATCGATAGTCTGACGAGACAGTGGGAGTATCCACTGATACTGTGTGCCAATACTGTGTAACCGATATCGAGAATCGTCCGAGCAGCCAGCAAAGGTAGAAATAAAAAAAAAAACAAAAAACAAATACTCGATGATCTCACTCGTCATGCCCGATCCTTTGCATGCCATCCTACACGCCCTTTAACGAATGACGTTTGCAGGTTCAGAGTGGATTCGAGTAAGCACTAAGATGAAATACGTTGTGGCGCAGTTCAGAAGGGCAACGAAGTAGATTAGTGGTTCCCGATACCGTCACAGGAAGAACTTTTGTACTTAGCTCTGTCCCGGGGCTCGTTCCTCAAAGGTGAATGTATCTTGCAACTTGAAGCAGGTACCAGATGGTGGTGGTGATGGTGGGATGCTTTTGCATGTAGGCATGCCTGAACTAGGTATTTTACACATCAAATCGGTTGGTGGGGTTCTTGGTTTCCTTGCGAAGCCTTGGGTCCAACTGAATATATAGGAAGCGAATATGGAAACCTTGAGACTTGGTCCTATATCGTGATTCATCAACCTTCTACCAGATTGCTAACTAAAATAAGAGGTAGGTGGCCACTCAAAGCCGTAACTGAACTAGCAGAAGTTGAATCCCAGCAAATCGTTCGAGTGACAATTGTTAAGGGCATTCTGATACTCCGGGATTCCACCCATGAAACTCAAAGCTTCACGCTGTTTTCCAGGAATGTTGCCGCCCATGTACCAGGTCGTCTTGTTGTGTGATAAAAGCGTTGCGTTACAGAAGTCGGCCGTCAAACGTCCCCATGTCTGCTCGGCTGCGGGCTGAGGATCAATTCTTGATAGCCCCCTATCTCGTAGACGAACTAGTGTCTCAATGATCCAATCACTTTGTATCTCCGAGATGACTGGCCCGATAGCAGTTGCGGTCGGACTCTGTGGCCCGTACAGGAAGAACAGGTTCGGGAAACCTGAAGTCGTCATACCTAGGTATGTGCGAGTTCCAGTTTTCCACATTTCGTTCAGTGACCTGCCTTTCAGACCACGGAAGTTGACTCTGCTGAAGCTTCCGGTGATGGCGTCAAACCCCGTTGCGAGGATCAAAGCGTCAAGCTCATGGACAGTGCCATTCTCCATCCTCACTCCATTTGGTAGAATCCGGTCTATGGGATTTTTCTTTAAGGCGACGAGGCTGACGTTATCTCGATTGAAAATCTCGTAGTAGTTTTGTTCAAGGGATGGCCGTTTCGTGCTAAATGGGTAGGGCGGGTTCCTTGGAGCGAGGTTCTCGATCAATTCAGGGTCGTCCACGTGTATTCTCTGTCGAACTTTGTCTCGCCAAAAGTTGTAGAACAGGTGGTTCGCTTCCAGATTTGTCATAAAGTCTGAGTAATTGCCATGAGTAGGCGCAAATCCGCCCTCCTCCCAGAGACTTTCAAAGAGGAGTTGCTGTTGCTCGGGTGTGTCATCCATGGCCTTCCTGGTGACCACTGGGTATGTAAAGCCGGCCCTAGACTTCTTCATTTGGGAAAAAAGGTCTTCATAGCCACTCTTATCTGGCTCTCCATCCACCGATAACCTCTGTCTCATCGGCATGGTACAGTTTGGTGATCGCTGGAAAACAACGAGCTTCTCAGCGACTGGACCTATCTCCTGAACCAGTTGAACGCCAGTGGCCCCTGTCCCAATGATGCCGACGCGTTTGCCGGAAAGATCCAATGGTTCGTGAGGCCAATGAGCGGTATGGAACAATGATCCATCGAAGCTGTCAAGATCATTTAGATCGGGAATGTATGTCTTGGCGGCAAACCCCATCGCGGGTAGCAGGAAGCGAGCTGACATAAGTTGGCCATGGTCGGTGATAATATTCCAACGGTTGGTGTGTGCATCGAATGTTGCATCAGTGACCCTCGCGCCGAAAGTGATGTCCCTACTAAGATCCCACTTACGGTCAACGAATTCGAAATATCGGAGAATCTCAGGCTGACTGGGGTATTTCTCTGTCCAAGCCCATTCTCTCCAGAGCTCAGGATCAGAAAACTCATAGAAAGGCGTGGCAGTGTCGACACGGGCGCCGGGGTAGCGATTATGCCACCAAACGCCTCCCAATCCGTGGCCTTCTTCAATGACCTGGACTTGGAATCCCTGTTTGCGTAGGTTGCGAAGAAGGTAACATCCGGCAAACCCTGCACCAATGACGATAACGTCCGAATGCAGTTCTTTGGTGTGTGACGGCATTATCAAATCGAAGCTTCCTGTTCCTTAAGGTATAGAAACGTGATGGTTATGAAATTGTCTGAGGATGTACGGAGGAATCATCATCATTATAAGAGTCTTATTTATATTGATGTTGCCTGTTTTACCACAATCGCATCGATGAATAAATTTGTTGTTGTGCTGCGTCCTACACATCAACCCCAGTGTCTCCGATGGTAGATACACTCGATCACAACTCCCTGCACCTACATTATCAGCCAGTGTTTCACGGCTTTGCCATCCGATAGTTAAGGCACAAAGTGTTAGTGGCATGCTAAGTAATCAAGAGGTAGATGACAAACTTTCCTGGGAGCGTTCTCCCTTCCCTGACTATCATCGGATACGTTTCCCGTAGCGGCACTCAGGTTGTGGAGGGAATGTCCAGCAATCCTTCAACAGAAGACATGCGTCGTAAACGGGCAAAGGGCAGGAGTATCTTTCATATATTGACTTGGCGCATGCCGCCGGCGGGATAACATGCCACTTTCTGATTGCCGATGATAACGACCAGCCGGACATGTTTTGCTATCTACCTTAAAGCAGGCAATAACGTGATGTGGATTTCGCGGATTGCCGCAACACATAAGACGGGTCCCCGATTTCCCGCCTTCCGACCGACCATGATTTACCATCCGCTTTCCAATCGTCCCCCACAGATTGAGTCTTTCTGACCGGCTATACGATGTCGCATCTTACACCACCTTTTCCCACCAGAAAAGATGACAAGTTGGAAGATGAAAAGACTGGCGTAGAAGACCTGCAACCCACACGTAGTATTGTTGTGGGTCAGGTCGAAGATGATCGAAGCGGCGAGTTCCACAGGTCCATTTCTCCGCGTCAAATTCATGTCAGTCTTTACTACACGCGAGGAGCCGTTGTCGAATGTTCTACTCACTATGACAATAGATTATATCTCTTGGCTCCAACATTGGAAGCGGCGTCTTTATCGCAACTGGCAAGGCTTTAGCTACTGGAGGCCCCGGCAATATGGTTGTTGCATATTTTTTGGTCTGCAGTTGTGTTTGGGCTGTCCTTCAATCACTTTCCGAAATGACAATTGCTTTTCCGGTATCCGGTAACTATATAGACTACGCCGACCGTTGGGTCGATCCAGCATTGGCGTTTGGTGCTGGGTTCGCTGAATGGCTTGGTGAGTGAGGCAAAAGGCGATACTGATTGAAACCTTGCTGTCACTAACTTTCGAATAGGATGGGCTGCGATAGTAGCAGCTGAAGCGGGATTCTTCCACGTTCTCCTTCGCTTCTGGGCTCCAGAATCGTTTCCACAAGCGGCAACTAGTAAGTCTCGCGCGTATAAGTTTGGTCTGGATGCCACCTACTCTACTTGGCGTCGAATTGAAGCTGATCTTCCGCAATAGTTTCTTTGTTCTTATTCGCGTGCTTCGTCATCTTCCTTCTTCCCAACAAAGCCTTCGCCTGGTTTGAATATGTCACGTCCATAATTAAAATCTTTCTCTTCCTGATCATTATTATACTCTCACTTGCGTTGGTACTTGGAGCCGGGCCAAACGGTTATCTGCACCGAGGAGAGACCTGGACAAGGCTCCCGCCATTCCTCAACGGATTTACTGTAAGCACTGATATCAATTCTTGGCAATGAAATTGGATACAGCTAATATCTAAGTACGTGTGTACAGGGATTCGCAAATTGTGCCCTATTAGCAACATGGGCCGTTGGCGACCAAGTTTTCGTCGGCATCATGGGCGGCGAGGCCGATAGTCCTCGCTTCTCAATGGCCCATGCGACAAAGCTCGTCCCTTTCCGAGTCAACTTCATTTACATGCTTAGTGTCACATTCATCACAATTTTGGTACCCTCGGATGAAGAAAGGCTGCTTGGTGGCAGTAGTGTTTCTGCATCTCCCTTTGTTATCGCTGTAGAGAGCTCTGGAATTCGTGGCATATCCTCGCTCCTGAATGCTGGGATGATGTGTGGAGTTCTAGCAATCGCCGCTGAATCAGTATACTTGTCTTCTAGAGTCCTGCGCTCTATGTCACATCAGAAACTCATCTCAGGTCGCCTGGCCAGAGTGGACGACAAGGGTCGACCGAGGCTGGCGCTGCTCGTGACGTGCGTCGTTGCCGCTGTGCTGTCGTACATACAGCTGTCGGGTAAGTGTCATGAGACTGAAAGCAGAGTGTTTTGATTGCATATGCCTGCTAACAAACTTATAGGGGAAGGTATCAAGGTCTTGAACTGGTTGGTTTCGATCACTAGTGCATCTTTCTTCACCAATTGGATCATCATTTCCTTCACCAATTGGCGATTCAGATGTGCCATCAAGGCACAAGGGGACCTTCTATTCTCCCAGACATATGCGTGGAAATCATCTGCATGGCCTTTGGCTCCTGCCTGGTTAATGCTCGTTTCATTGATTCTACTGGCTTCGTGTCTAGCCTGCGGCATCAACCCTATCGTAAGTGATTTCGGATTTCGATGCAAGATATCGTTGATTTCTTATCTCTTCTCACTTCCGTTCCGCGAAGAGGCTGACTAGCCTATCTTAGGGTGGCGGGGGGTTCACGGCGGAGAACTTTTTCCAATACACCATCGGACTCATTCTCATCCTCGGTGCAACGCTTGGATATAAGATCATTTACAGAACACCCTGGCGTGATCCGAATACAGCAGACTGCATCACTGGTCGGCGAGAGCTATCAACTGAGGAGATAAAACAACTGGACGAATACTATAAGCAGCCGAAGATCAGAAGATTCTTCAGCTACGTACAGCTGTGGTAAGCCCATGGGCTAAACAAAGCTTGTGATTGATAGCAGAGGAGTGTCTATGCTAGATTGATCTAGGGGGTGGCTAAACAACCACCTTATCTTGAAGGTCAATCGTTTTGTGTATAAGGTCCCTTAGCCTTCGAACATAACTAAATGAACTTGGTCGCCTATATAGTTCTCCAAGTCAATAGCTTATACGTGTATTCTAACTATGATGCAACCAGTCATGTTGGAGCCACCTAGATAGCCAAAGTTAGGCGACTGAATACACTCATTTGCCTATTATACTTCATGCAGTAACAGAGCCGAGATTCTACTTGTCGGCTTGATGTAAAGCCATGCATGCCCGGCAAGCCGTCCGGTAAGTTTGCGTGGCACAGCGAAATTTAGAACAACCACAGTATTGCAAAGCTATTTTTATTTCATTGTTTACGGCTTCGGATTCGGGCACATGGACACACAGTTGGCTGTTGAAGATGCCGCAGTACCAGATACTCGATATTGGTCGGCTTGGGTGCCAAAACCGCTAAGGTATCGTTGATTGGCGCCCGGCAGTTGATGAGAAATCGTGGAGACCTCCAGGTTGTTGGGTGTGGTAGGACTGCCGGTTTTCGGAAAGACTTACCACTCTTGTCATGGGGAGTGTTGAAGCGGGTGGTCATTCTCGGGAAACGCATCCGATTTCCCATTGCAAGACTGTGGCGTCACTGTTTTGGTCTACGGACCCAGTTCCCGGTGGCTGTTTTGCCGACTCCTCCCCCGCACATTGCATCTGTTGCACGGTCGAGGCACGAAGCTTTCGCAATCGTGATAACATGCTATCATTGTTGCTCGCGCTAGAGCTCAGTCAAAGCAAGGTACAAATATCGTGATGATCACAAACTTATCGAACTGACTGTCCCATTCATCACCCTATCGCCAATAACGTCTTCCTCACCAAGACAGTACCTGTTCCTTACAATGGCATCATCTCCAATCTCCCCAGAGACATTTCATGTTCCACCTACCCCTCATTCCCCAAATTCCAAATTCCCTGTCATTGTGTATAGAAACGCACTGGAGAACAAAACAGTGGAAGGCGCTTTAGAGGCGATCAACACCTCGGAGTGGGTCAAAGGGGGTCACTGGAAGATCGCCAACGAAACACTCGCAGCTACCCCCCACTATCATTTGACGACACACGAGGCGTACACTGTCTTACATGGCAGCGGCACATATGTTCTTGGGAAATCTCCTTTGGACGCAGACACCGATGAGCTCGGCAACCCTGTGGGTGTCGAGTTTGTTGCTCGTGCTGGGGACGTCTTTGCATGGCCAGTAAGTTACTAAACACCGGCAGAACCCGAGGGGCTGAGCTACTTATGCCAACTTCTTCAATCTAGGCAGGAGTGACACACTTTGTTAGGGATTCTGAGGATGACTATGAGATAATTGGGTTTTATGCTTTGGTAAGGTCTACTTAAACATCGCTTTCAATCATACGTTATGTGCATAAGTCAGGAGCTGACGAGGTTTTGAGACGGGGTTCAACTCAAGGGAAGAGCCTTATGATATGGAGTATGCATTGGATTCGGTTCAGGAAACAGACGAGAAACGGGGAAGGTGCGAGAAGGTCCCTGGTCCGCTTAAGGATCCGTTATACGGAGAAGCAGGGCCGATGCCATCTTTGTGGAAGATGAATGATGCTTGATCTTTGCAAACGTACGTTGTGCGCAAGCAAGACACCCTAGGCAGAAAAGAGTTCCAGGGAGTCTGGACAGACATACTTTCAATTGAACACACTGCACACCATTCCTGACTCATGGCCACTTTGTGTTGTGTTTCTCCTAAGCAATGTTGAGATGTCTCTTAGGTCTGATTGATCCGCGGCTGTCCACTAGCCTTCAGCTACGGGGAAATCCCAGCTCAAGCTCTCAGGATCCAGCGAGTTAGCGATATCGATCAGAAGGTCTGTGCTAAGCTCGGCCTCCATCGCCAGGCTTTGCTCAAACTCCAAACCTAGGGCCTGGTCTGTTGGGTATGATCCAACATCATTGGTAGAGGCAGTACGCTGTGTCCCATGAACTTCGGTTGGGACTTCTTCGTCTGCACTGAGATGGTGAAGATAATTATCAAGCTGCCTCAGTTCAGATGAGATCATTCCTGCGATCTTACTACCGTGAGAGCTCATTTCTTCGAGAATGAGGAACACCCGTTGAGACCACGCTGCTTTGTCGGGAAACAGAGTCGGCTCAATAGCTGCAGCCATAGACATGGCGACTGCAGCTGTTGATGTAGCATCCAGATCAAACGTTAGGAAGCTTTCTGTGATTCGTCGAATGAGCTTCTACTTCTTGCAAAGAATAACTAAGAGACTTACCCAGTAAACCATGACTCAATAATCTCAATGAAATTTTGATTATCTGTCGCGAAGAATCCGTGCAAACCTGTATCAAGCTTCTGATGCTATCGGAATGCAACCACTGCATCAGCACTGATTCAGATTGCCCGAGTTTGGACTGCAGGAATATGAATAATAGCGGCCTAGTGGTTAGAACGATGCACTTCGTACACGTCAAGTTAGCATTTCCTCTATACCGAAGTTTGATGTCTCCATACTTGGTGGTACTGGAGATGCAAATGTGCCGAGACACGGGAGACTCCTGATGTGTTCTCACTGGAGTCGATGTCAAACAAACCATGGAGGTCGGTAGCGAGGCCTGCTATACTTTGGAGAACAGCCTTTGTGGCACCCAAGTAGCGACTGTCAAGCTGTCCTTCAATGCCATAAACAGCTAGTGCAACATGTTAGCCACCAGAACGATGGTAGTAAGCTCAAGATGAGTACATGATTCTTCGCCTTACTTTGATGGATCTGCCCCAGTACCTGCGCCAACTTGATCTGTATGTGCAAAGCGCTGGTTCTTTGTGCTTGCTCGTAAAATATGGGGAACGGTGTGCAGACGCATTCATCCGAGATGAACATAGGCACTCCCATGAGTGCTGACATTTGACGCTCCAAGACATATATTGTCCACCATACTAGCCTGCACCTCTGCACATACGTCTCGTCTAGATGGTGGCTCTGCATCTCAGTATGTAGGCCATGTTCGAACGCTGTGCTAAGTGCCTGTCCAACCTGGAAGAGGTTTATCAGAAGCTGAGGCCAGAGAGAGAGGCATGGCTCACCAACATATCGATAAGCAGCGGGCCGACAACTTATGCAGTGAAGATACAGCGAGGTACAGCAAAGTACCTGCATCCTTTCTATGTAGTCACACTCGAAGAAGGTGAAGTCCGGCATAAGCTTCATAGCTTGCACAAACAGGTCTGCTCCAGGAGGTTGGTGTGACTTTGATGTCTGTACGATAAACGCCTTGCCGAATGCTAAGATAATGAGGTAGTGAACGAACCACAGCCGGGGGACTTTTGACTGATCCGCGGCACTTGCATGGAATGTGGCAAAGTGCTCCATGAAACTGTCCTCTTCAAACAGATAGAACAAGCGGCAGCAGTGAAACTTGACGGAATTAATCAGATAGATTGCAAAATCCTGAGTCGGCAAACTGGCAAGGCTGAAATCGTCCCCTGGAGATGAGATTCGGCCTCCATCCCACCTCAAGTCGTAAACCTTTCCGTCAAAGAATAGGTTCTCTGGGGATAAGGCAGTGCCGGTGATTGCTTCATGGGTCATAGATAAGACCCGTCGGTTGAAAGCCCAATTGGAAGACGTTCCCATAAATACTGATTAGGCAAGCATCAGCGTACTGCGCTGGAGGAAACTGGCGCCTCAGACGTACCGGGAGTACCACTAGGACCCGGAACCCAGTCTATTGTATGGAAAGCTAGTGGATTTGTGAGCGGTGCCTCGTTTGTGGGCACATGGACGCCAAGAGATGAAGCGAGTACAGTCGAAGATGAGGGCGTAATGGGGAAAATGTTTCCCACTGTGCGGTCCTGTGTTGAAAGATAACTCTCAGTGGCATCACCAGGGATTTCGACTATATTATCTGTTAGTATCTAATCTTGAGCGTAAATATTGAACGGACAGCCTGCTCTGACGCGTTTTGTTGTTTGCTTGTTGATCCAATGGCGGGTCTTGTGAGACCATCAAAGATGCTCGCCGCTCGGATGCGGCCAGCTTTTCTTGCAAGTCGCTAATATACCTAGAGCCATTTCGTGAGTGAACCGAGTAGTTTGATATCAGAAGTAAGTCGACCAGACTGAAGTTTTACCTCCTGGTGACCACGACCTTTTGCGACTCGTCAGGAAAGACGCATTCCTGCTCTCTCTTGCTGCATTGTTGACAGGGGTCTGAGCCCGAGCATTTAATCTTTTGATCGCGGCATCTTGTGCAGCTTCGCAGCCGAAAAATCGTCAATAAATATGACCGGTCAAGTCCTGTTGACAGGAGCAGCCATGGTGACTTACGCTTTCGATGTGCGCCTTTTCGATGCACGGTTTCTCCCAACACCGCTCCTTGCTGACATTGCCACGCTCGATTTGTTTTGGCTTTGGCAGTCGTATGAACAACACTGCGTAGGAGAGCTACTTGAAGTTTGTGCAAGAACAATAGGAAGACGATGATATGATGACTCGAAGATGATAGATGCGATAAATGGGCGGCTTTGTGGGTGGGATTTCTTTATCTCGGAGGATAATGTCCCCACTTGACATGTATCCGACTATGCGTCCCCACAGCATCCCCCCGGCAGGATGCGAACCCCGCCCTCGGGACTGAGCCCGGCGTTGAGCGGAATGCGGAAAGTATCCCCGGATCCGTGCTAGATCTCAACTAAGAACGATAGCACGAAGATACACCACAGGTAGCATGAGGTAGGCGCCGCGATAGGAGATTTGGTCGAGTGTGTGGAGACCTTCTCGGTGATATCGCCCGCTTGCGAGTCTCGTACCCCGGGCCACTACTAGAAGCGCCAGATTATTCGACTTTTCCCGTGTCGTAGGTATAGCTTGTTGGTCACTGAAATCTCAACCAGAACTACGTGGACAACTCAACATGCGCGATTTGGACTACGACTGTCTTTATGAAGCTTTACAAAACTATTGGCGGGTTTCCGTTGACCTGATGCAAGCTTTTAGCATTCAGGTCCATGCAGATCCGATGTAATCTGAGCCAGATCAATTGTCTTGCAGGTATCTTTCCGATCGAGTCGTTGCTCTAGTCATGATTCATCAAACCTCATTTGTTAAATTTCACGGCCTTGTCATTATGTAGCGATGGAAAAAAATGAACATGAGCCAAATTGATTTAAACTGCTATTTTGAAAACCGGCCTTCAGGTATGATTTTATTGTCAATTGATACAGGTCACTTCCCAGAACAGACTCAACTTATACGGGCTAGCCTCATTGTATTCAAAGTGAACGATGAAAAGCAGAGATATCAACCGGTTACTGTTCTAAGGCCCAAGCCTCAATAAGCAATCCCTACGTTAAGTCTGATTCAAGGTCTGGTTCAAGTCCTACTTCGGGTCTGCGTTACCACTTGGGTTTCCCAAATCAACTCATAGCCGGCGTGATGGTGTCGAAAGTATACTAAGGTAGGAACGACATGAATACCAAGATCAAAAAGACGAAAGAGGTTTGCCGTGAAGGTCTTTATGTTTGGAGCTCGTAGACTTGAAAGTAGCGGCCTAATAATTAATGTTAGATTATCTTGAATACAACCAGAATCTGAACCGAAGCTTACTATCAAGTTGCATCGTAGCAGGTACGGACAAATGCCTACTTGGGGCAGCCGATACCCAGACCAGTATCAAAGGTGCAGCAGTCCGCGCCACAGGTATTCGAGTGGGATTCAGGGCAGATTGTGCCTTGCGGGAAGTTAATATAACCGCCTTGCCTGACTCTTGCGTCGTTATCGCGATAACAGCAGTTCTCGATAGTCTTTTTATTCCAGTTGCAGTACGCTGAAGCTTCGCCAAAGAAGCCAAAAGCAGCAATGGCGACCGTGAAAATGGTTGAGGAATGCATGGTAAGGTTAACGGAATTGGAATTATGCCGTTAAGAAGAGAGAAGTAAAAGAAAGACTTTTGTAAAAGTGAGAACGAAAGTGAAGACCGAAGTGATGATTGTCAATGAAGGTTGTGGCGATGATGGAGATGATTATCTATGGATAGTTGTGTGTTCTTATATTTGTTATAATCATGACTCTGGGAGGGACGCAAGTGGGTGCTTCGCAGGAATTCAGTCAGGTGAATTTAGCAATAATCTGCCCTAGATGGAATGGGAAGGGTAAACTTTGTTATTTCGGGAAAGTTTGACATGTATCATCGAAGTTTATGGTCCACAAAGTTCTAGGCTCAATGAAGGAGTATAGACAAGATGCGAGCTGTGTTGAGCAGAGTCCTTTCGCTACATCCTACCTTCAGTTCTCCATACTGATGCCAAGGTTTCATGTCCCACGATATTTATAGTATGTATTTCCAGAGCACTGGGCTAAAGTTGAGGCCTCGAGTCAGGTCCCTATTTTCTTCATAGCCCTATTTTGTCATCCCTCTTCCCCTCCAACTTCCTCCTCCTGACCAAACTTGAACTCTTCACAGCTGTAAAGGGCCCGCACAACTTGACTCCAGCTGACTCAAGGTATAGCTTTCTGTTGTTGTGAAGGACCTTCAGAATTTCTGGTTCATCGCATTGGTGCTTGAATCGGTGTCTGTTGAAAGCTCGAAAGTAAGCTATCCCACCGGGTACACAATTTCTACCCTGAGGTGCCAGCCCGGTGTATTACATGGGTCAACTAGGGTGTAGGCGTGTTAGGGACGTGCCATGGGCATGGGAAGAGCACATGCTTTTTCTCCCGGGCATTTAGCCTCTAACATTGCCAAGATCATTTTGTCGTACGGAGTATCCGTAGGCCAGATGACCTGCGGCCTTTTTTTCACCGGAAGAGAAGGTAAGCAGCACTGTTGGATTACGAGGCAGAAAAGGGGCCCTATTAGGTAGTTAGGTAGGGGTGGTAGGTAGGCAGTTTGGGCCCGTGCAGACGGACCCTTCCACCTACTTACACCCACTGAGGGATCGCGGGCTCTGCCCACGATCTTCCCCTTCTACACACTCAATACGCAATAGACCTATACTGACCTATTGACCTCGTCGCGACCGAACGGTCTGACCTGCCTACGTGTATACCAACAAGCACTATAGAGGAATCGGGGCACGAAAGGTATTGCTCAGAGTCTCAATGAAAAAATGATAAACTGCTAGTAGGTGGTTAAGTTTAACGGGGACCGGAGAAAGTGTTGCTTTGAGCCTTGACAGCAGGTATTGCTAATGCTTCTTGGTCCGAAGACTCATTTTTATAACCTCGAGCATTCTATTGTGGTTAGTTGTTTGACCGTCTCTCGTGGTCACTACATGAAGTGGTCATTTTCTGAGAAGGACAGGGAGTTTTGTCTCCGGTTCTGCTGTCTAATTCATGGACATCAGCTTGTGATCTCGCTCCTCAGGGCTCATTTGATGTGAGAGATGAGTTTAAATAGTATTGTCGTTACATGTGACCTCACAAGGTAGAGCTTGGCTCTAGTCGTAGAGCTAGCGAATGATTGATACCCTGTGTCTGATTCCTGCTCCCTGTACCCTCTTTTTCTTTAAGTCTCCAAATACGGTGGCCGAGTTCGGGCTGCTTCTAACCTTCCATATGCCCACTATAATCGAAGGATTTGGTGTCGTGTAGGCGGGTGTGCGGATGTTAGCAGGAGGTGTGGTGGGAGTTATATCTTCCTAGGCAGAAAAAACTTGAACAGGGCAACGCCAAGGTGCATCTACAGATTGACAGGAACATCTAGAGATAGCTGCCGGATTGGTACCTGCTATAATCTCAGAGCAAAAAGTATCGCAACTAAACAAGATACTAAAGATTTGGCTTGGGTTAGAACACATTACAAACAGCTGTGCTAGTGTAGGGCCTGTTACCCCACGCCTCTCGTTTGCGACATATGGAGATTGGTCGCAGCACTAGAAAGCATGGCAAACGTCTATGGGATGCCTGATAACGAGGTCCTATCGATGATGTAACTGCTATGCGCTGTGCATAGCCCTACCGGGGTCTTCAAAGCCTAAGTACCTCATGTAGCATGGTATGAGTGACACGCCCGTATCTTATTTCAGAAGTGCGGTGGTGCAGAAATACCAGTCAGCCCGCATTGCCCCTCGGAGCCACCGAGACTGGGCTCGGGATTTTGGCCGTGCTTTCAAGTGGACTATTAATGGCCAGAGCCAGAAGGTTCGTCTTTAGTATGTGTCGACGGGGTTTGCCGTTGCTTGGACACTGTACCGCTAGTCCATCAGGCTAACTCTTGGGTCGTACCAAGGACCTGGCGTTAGGATAGACGTGAATCGCTGGCGGACTAGTCGCGATGCGTAGGGCCTTCGGACCCGGCATGTCGCACGATCGCTAGAGGCGCATGTTGGCTAGCTTTAATTGTGATTCTGGACGGCCTACTAATCGTATGATCCGAGCAGATACGATGCGCTTTACTTATTTAATATTAAACATTCTTAATGATTGTTAAACTAATCTACGCGTTTATAAACTATTAGCTCCTTGTCGCTTATACTAAATGCTAGAGGCCCGTTATCGATTACGGTAGCTCGACGTATATTACGCGCAGTTATCTTAGTATTATAGGGGTTCGTACGATGTATGGATTTTTTATTAATTATTTAGTATAAGCATACTGCGCTATTAATTAAGTGCCGAAGGGTTAGGCTTAAATAGAAATTTTAAAATTTATAAATCTTAAATACTTACTACCTTAGCTAACTTTTTACTTACTATTAGTAAGTTAAAGAATAATTTAAGATTTATAAACCCTAAATAACTACTACTTTTACTAGCCTTTTATTTACTAATAGTAAGTAAAAGAATTTAAGTACTAAATACTCGAGCTAACCTTTTACTTATTAATAGTGAGTAAAAGAATTTAAATACTAAATACTTAAACTAACTTTTTATTTATTAATAGCGAGTAAAAGAATTTAAGTACTAAATACTTAAACTAACTTTTTACTTACTATTAGCGAGTAAAAGAATTTTAGTATTAAATACCTAGTTAATTTTAATTATATTTCCTATTTTAATTTTTTTAATAAATAATAGTAATAGTAAATCTATTATTTTTCGTTTTAATTTTCCTTTTTAAATCTATTATAGAA